GCGTATATATGTATATATATGTATATGGGATATGGGAAAAGGTTACGACGTTATATACGCACCATCACCTGATCAGCTGGTATACGTTGATGATTTGCCCATAGTGGCCGAGATGATATGATGGGATGCCCTCAGAGGCTTGATGATGTTATGAACGCATATACCCATGCATGGTATGACATTTGTATGCATATGCATGACATTATAATATTATATGATTCATAGAGCTATTCAGACTTACATGTCGAGTCTTTTACTCCATGTGTCTCTCATGACTTTTATTTACTGATTTTCATTCCTTACATACTCGGTACATTATTTGTACTGATGTCCCTTTGCCTGGGGACGCTGCGTTTCATGCCCGTAGGTCCTGATAGACAGGTCGAGAGTCCTTAAAGTAGGCTATCAGCTCAGCGGAAGATGTTGGTGCGCTCCATTTGCTCCGGAGTTGCTTGTTTGGTTAGTATGATTTAGACGTGTATTGTTTGGTATAGCGGGGCCTTGTCCCGACCTTTATCATAAGTATGTACTCTTAGAGGCTTGTAGACAGATGTCATGTATACAGATACTTGTATGTCCTTGTACGCCTATATTTTAAGTATATAATGGATCACATTGGCCTTATAGGCCCGTATGTCACAAGTATGAGTTTCTATATCAGGTTGGGTCATTCTATGTTGGGTATTCCCTCGTGTTTACTCTGGTTATCTCATGACGCCCCTTCTGGCCCACTTACCTATGATGATGTAATAAGAAAGATACGTTACGTTGGTACTCGGTTGAGTAAGGTACCGGGTGCCCGTTGTGGCCCATCGATTTGGGTCGTGACAAATTCATCAATACTTTAATCAACAATCGGTACAATACGGGAGTTTGTATCGAATCATTAGAATTGATGTTTTCTTTGTTCTTAAACCTTATTGAGATGACTTTTTCCATTGCTATGGAGTAATTTTTATCAGGGTGTTGACAGATACGGTGTTTTGATAACTTGATTAGGGATTCGATTCTTGATAATTGTTAGAATAATTGATGGAGTTTTAATTCGTATTGTGGAGTTATTTCTTATTTTGCTTAATCACGAAAGAGGATATTCATATTGAATTGCTTTACATTTTATGCTTTTGTTTAAATTCATGATTCAAACAGGTAATCGAAAGAGCCTCTTGAATTATTAATCAAACTATAAAATAGGAAAATATTCGTGAGAAGTTACCCTTTAGATCATAACCATCATTTTATTGTTGCAATTGTTTACTGTGCTTCAATTGGATTAATTACTGAAATTAACGTTTTAATTGGAAGAGGAACATTAACTTCAAGTGTAATCTGATTATCGGTTGAATTCGTGAGAATCAACCGTATTATTTAGTGAACTAACTCAAGAATTGGATCCCGAGTCAAATATCTTGCACCTATCTAGTCAATTACCCTTAATTCTCTCATTGATATTTCTTTGTTGCTCATCTGTTGTCCTTTGTGATCAATTTAATCTCTTAATTTTTAGTAGTTGATCGTAGTGATAGTCATCAAATTAAGTGTTAATTTTCCTGGATAGTAATCAACTAAAGATTATTCGAACATTGTTTAAATCCAATCCTTGTAGAGATGATAATTAAATTATACTATCTTTGACTAGCGAGCAATAATTTTGTGTTGTATTTTGCGCTCGTCACCTAAACACCATATAATTTATAATCATAGTCAAAAGTATAAAAAGTAAACAAAAAATTAGCATGTATTTGAGCAATTATTTATTTGTTGTATACATCGAGCGTGTGCAACTTTTTTTTTTTGATTATACACGCATAGAGAAAAGTAATTGCGTGGGTAAGGGTGTTAAATGAACGGTTGAGCTAATTTTGGGCGGGTCAAAATGGGTTGAGTTAATAAATAAGCGGATCATTTAACCCATCCAAACGTAACTTGGGCTGAGATGGGTCGGATCAAGTTGGGCTAAGATTTGAGTTATAACTCAACCCGTCCAAACCTTACCAAGCTTTAATTAATGTTTATTATTTTTTTATGAATTATTTAATTATTAAATAAGACTTTTTTTGTTTTGTTATGGTCATAACATATTCAACAAAAAAAATTATTTTAAAGTTATTTTATTAAAATTACTCATGTATTAATTTGGGTTGAAAAACAGCTCAACTTTAGATGGGCTGAAATGAGTTGGGTCAAGATAAAGGTGTTTACCGGACGGGCTGAACCGGGCTGGTCATGTAAAAAAAACTTCCCGTCCAGTTAGTGGGGCGGGCTAGTTAGTGGGCTGGCATACCGGGTTGTCAGTGGGCTATGTAATTTAGGGTTCTAGTGGGCCCGTCGGGGATCAGGGCCTATCCAGTTCGAACTTGGGGTTTATATTTTTTTTAGTGTATTCTGTTTTCTTGTTCAATATAATTGATAATTAAGTATTTGCAAACTTCTAAATAATAAAATAAGTATTTTAAGACATAAATTAAACTTTCAAAGTTTAAAGCTTAAAGTTTAAACTTTAAAGTGTTAAATTGAAATTTAAAAATTAAAATTAAGTGGCTACATAAAATTATTTAATAAGACCAATATGTAAGGATCAAACTTCACAGGCTTTCATTTCATATTTTCATTGCATAATATACTTCAAATTAACTTGCATGTTCTATTTTGATTTTTTATTTTATTTTTGGACTTGCAAATTAAAAGTTTACAACAATTAAATGTTTAGTGTTTACTACTATCAAATGCCAATACAAGCAAATTATCTAATAAACCAACACATTAAGCTTAAATACATCTAATAAATTCATAATAACACAAATTGTTTCGAATCAACTTAAATACGAATTCCTGGAAGACTCTCAAGACAACCCTTGATATGCTTCCTTAAACCATATGTGCCCTCCCACTTTGGATGAACATTAAAGACTCGACCATAGTGCTTGCACTCTACTTTGAGAAATTCTTCATTTTCTTCTACCACTTCAAAGTGTTCCCAAACATGTGAGCGCACTCTAGAAGCACCATGCATGATTGAACTTGAACCTAACAAAAATGATACCACACTTTACTTGATAATTGTAATTTTGTAGTGGCTAAAGTAAATAATTGATAAACATAAAATAATAATTAATTGAGAACTTGAGCATTCAATAATTAAGAGGGAATTGAGAGAGAATTAGAGTGGAAGAAGAGAGCAAGTTGTGAGAAAAAATAAAGAAGAGAGGGGCTATTTATAGTTTTTAAAAGGCTAAAAATGTGATTATCAATTATTAGGGGTGTTTTATTTTTAGTAAAGTGGTAGGCTGAAAGGGCTAAAAATGCAAAAAATAGCCGTTGCCCAACGGTCATTTTTGATTTTGACCACTGGCAACAGTCAGAATAAAAAGAAAGTTGCAACGTAAATCGGGTTGGAACGCGATTAAAACCCGTGAATGGGTTACTGGGCTAGCCGGGTTCTGGGGCACCGACACCAAAAAAATCCGCCCCCGTTTGGAACAACTCCCTACCCTAGCCAACCCGTCCCAGCCCTTATCGGACCGGGCTGACCCGTGCTGAACCGAGTCGAATCGGGCTATTAGTAACCTGACCCGGTTCGATTAATACCTCCAGGTCGGGGCATTTGCATCTATACCCGCTTTTTGGGTCACGTTTTAACTTGTGCCCGCTTTGCAAAAAAAATTGCAAGCATACCCACTTTTTCGCGTAACTTCAGCATACAGGGCTGAAGTAGCAAAGGCAATCACGCAAAACTTCAGCATTCTAGTAGACGGGCCTGAAGTAGCAAGCGTGCTGAACCAAACGTGCTGAAGTTTTTATTTGTAATTGCTGAACTTAAGCATAGTAGCTGAAGTTTTGTTCTGTATTTGCTGAAGTTTTTGTTTGTAATTGCTGAACTTAAGCATAGTAGCTGAAGTTTTGTTCTCTATTTGCTAAAATTTTGGTTTGTAATTGCACTAAATAAGCTGAAGTATTTTTGTCCTGGATTCATTAATTTTGTCATTAAGCTTTTTCAAAAACTTCAGCAGAAGATGCTGAAGTTATTTAGTTCATTTATAAAAACTTTAGCACTAAATAAGCTGAAGTTTTTTTGTCTTGGATTCTTTAGTTTTGTCATAAAGCTTGTTCAAAACTTCAGCAGAAGATACTCAAGTTGTTTAGTTCATTTGTAAAAACTTCAGCACTAAATAAGCTGAAGTTCTTTTGTCCTGGATAAGCTTTTTCAAAAACTTCAGCAGAAGATGCTGAAGTTATTTAGTTCATTTATAAAAACTTCAGCACTAAATAAGCTGAAGTTTTTTTTGTCCTGGATAAGCTTTTTCAAAAACTTCAGCAAAAGATGCTGAAGTTATTTAGTTCATTTGTAAAAACTTCAGCACTAAATAAGCTGAATTTTTTTTTGTCCTGGATTCATTAGTTTTGTTATAATCAGACTACTATAAAATAATCAGATTGCCAACAGTATCTAAATCATAAAATTTTGGAAACAATAAACGTGAAAAGAACAGAATTATCATGAAAAGAATCACTAAGTGTGACCTTAAACTTCCCGTACGTGGAAATATTCATAAATTATTGTCTACTAACTTACGTAATTATTTATAATTTATTTTTAAATAATCTGATAAACATACTTATGGCAATCATCCCATGAACTGAAGTTTCATAGCAGCACCAACAACAGCAGAAGAAAGAAGAAGAAGAAGAAAACGAAGGAGGAGAATGAGGAGGAGAAAGGGAGCTGAAGTTGTTTAAAAAGTGGGTACAAGTTAAAACTTTTAAAAAAAAAGGGTATACGTTAAATGGGGTCGACCAAATAGAACGCCCCGTGTAATTTTTACCTCCCGGCCAAGATTAGTTAAGTTCAATATATGTACGGGTTAATAACCAGCCAACCTTAAACGGGTTGAGCGGGTTAAATGAGATGAGCTTGGTCTAAATTGCCACCCGTAACGTGGGCTAGCCACTTTATAATTTCGTAACTAAAAATAGCAATCTTCGAATTTTACTTGTAGAAACTGAAATATTAAAATACTCCTAGTAATTATTCTTCAATTGCAGTCTTGCAGAACAGAAAAATGACTATGAACTTTAAGCGTCCAATAACACTGATGCGTACGCCTCCGCATAGACCTCTAGCTCAATGAAAGCCCAAGAGCTCAATGACGGTCGGAAAGCCCATACATCAAAGATAGCTCTAACAGCAATATCGGCGATGGCGGCGGAAACAGCAACTTTTCCGATTGACCTCATAAAGACGAGGCTTCAACTCCACGGCGAATCTCTCGCCTCATCTCGCCGGACATCTGCCGTTCGATTAGTAGCAGAGATCTTAAAAAACGACGGTGCTTTAGGACTATACAAAGGATTATCACCGGCAATTATAAGACATTTATTTTACACTCCAATCCGAATCGTGAATTATGAATTTTTGCGGAATTTTTTGGTTCCTGCTGATCATACTCTTTCTCTGTCTAGCAAAGCCTTAATTGGTGGATTATCTGGTGTTATTGCTCAGGTAAATAATAAATTTAAATCTCACTGATTTTTGAAATTATATTGTTGTATTGAGCTAAATGAATTGAGATATCGTGTTAACTTGGTCTGATTTACTTCTCTTCTTCCGTAATTGAGTTGATTATTATGCTGAATTTTATTAAGAAAAGTTCGAAATGCTGAAAGTAAACAAGTTAATTGAGAAGATGTCACATGAAATTTGAAATAATAGTATAAAGCACTAACTCATTTCATTTTATATGTCGGAATTTGACTAGACATGGAGGTAACTTTTTAAATTGATTTATGTATTATATTAGTAGTAGTGGCAGTGGTAGAATGTGTAATTAAAATTTGGCTGGAAAAAGTAGTTTGATAAGGAAAACATCATTCAAGATTTGAACTTTAAATAGTTAAGCGAATTTGAATAATTGAAAAGTTGTTGAAGTTTGTATCAGACAATCATTAGTGGACTAATCTCAAATATTTTGACATTCCAAGATGGCAAAGGAGTTAAATATTCCGAACCAGAGTGGTTTTAAATTATGTTAAATTTGACTGAGTAGATAGCAGAAGTTTGTCATTTAAAGTAGGTCAAATATTGGGAGGTGGAGGTGGGAGTATGTGGTTATGCTTTCCTGCAGTTGGATTGATGAACTTCTCTATTGCGGCGTGTGTAAAGAAATTTCTGTTTATGTTCTAAAGGATTAACAACTTTTTGTTAGAAGGTGAAAGTATTATGTTTAGTTGGTAAGAGTTTGAGTACAAATGGTTAAGATGGAGTGAGATTCTTTCAGGGAAATGTCTTTCATTGAAACTTTTTTCTTTACCATTTTCCTATGTTGACTTGGGAGCTTACTGATGATAGTAGTGGGTTGCTGATAGTAGTGAAGGAAGGTGGCAGCAGCAATTGTGGTTCTGGGTGCTGATAAAATTTGTGGCAGGTCGGATGCGATGGTTACTGCAGTATTCTTTAATGTGGTTGTTAGAGTTGGATGGATGACTAATGCAGTGAGTGGTCAGAGCTCATATCCCCTTAATGTTGCAAGATTCTTTCAGTTGGAGAAGATTTTTCATGACTTAAAACACTAAAAAGACGATTAGAAAATGCTTCTGGAGAAGATTTTTTAATCAGAATGCTTACAGTGGAGATGTTTCTAGTCCTACCAAGTAGATTCTAAATGCTTTTTTGCTGGTCTACATCTATTGGATTTGTATATCTACCTAGTTAAAAGATTCAGTGCAATAGAGCCTTGCCTTAATGCTTGATGCAGAAATGGCTTCAAGGTGGTTGCAAGTTGCAACAGGACTGATTAGAAACTTAGAGTAAAATAAACGGGATTCAAACCAATCATCTATGCCGCAATGGCGAATCAGTTGGGTTAGCTATATGAATCTTTTGTAGCCATAACACTAACTAATTTTTCTTTTAAGGAAATTTAGGAGTTTCTTGTGCCAGGGGTACTCTAAGTATAAAATTTGTACCTACACTGACATCCATGACTCTAAACAAAATAGAAATACTCTTCTGAAGAACTAAGTCTTAACCTCTACTAGTTGGTATTAAGTATTTGCTTCTACTGTGCCATGTTCTTAGAGATATTTACATGAATTCCGAAAATGTAAATGTTTAATTAATACAGATTAAAGTCAGATCCTCTTTCACATTAAAAATACAGGAGATGGACAAGTGTGTCTTTTTTATGGATTCATCATGATCTGAATTCAGTTGAGCAACTTATATATGCTCTTTAGGGAAGAGCAATCTCTCTATTAGATTGTTGGTTACTTTGTCAGTTCTTTGTTTCCTTGGTGGCACCTGAGACTTTGGAGTAAACAGATGAAGAAACTGGTGATCACTGGAACAAAACTTGGTTGCATACTTGTCATAAGTTGTTAGTTTGTTGGAACAGAGGAATACAAGGCTCTTTTATAGTTGTTTTTTTTGATTAATTTGTTCATTCCGAGATAAAGTGAGCTGTCTTAAACATTCTTTAGAATAGTTTCCTTTTGTTTTGAAATTTTACTATACCTAGAGATAGATGCTGATAGGTGCCCTTGTAAGGGTCTATGAAGCTCTTATTCGTTGATGTTTGTTGAATTTATCACTCTGTTATTTTATAGAAACGAGTTACTTTTATCTCTCCGCCAAAGATGGTATCATGAAAAACCCTTCGTCTTCTCATCTTTAATTTTGTCATCTTTAACAATATTTCACATGACATTATCTTATTTATGTTTTTCATTTCTGTAGCTTTCTGCATGTTGGGAAGAATGTAAAGTATGATCAGCTAATGCTAAGTTGATAAAAGAAATGTTGATAATGCTAGGCTACTTGTCCCCACAAAAAGAAAATGGAAAAAAGAGAAAAAGAGATTAAAGGAGAAAAATAAATAAGTGAGTATGCAAAAACTTTTTAGTTTACTAGCTTGTTGTGCTTAAGCTTTCAATTCCCTTCGGGGACATTCGTTGTGGAACATGTCATAGTTGTTTGTCTTCTTGTGATTCAGGTTGTGGCAAGCCCAGCTGATCTTGTCAAAGTTAGGATGCAAGCAGACAGTAGAATGGCAAGTCAGGGTATGGAACCTCGATATTGTGGGCCATTTGATGCTTTTAACAAAATTATTCGGACTGAAGGCTTCCGAGAACTTTGGAAAGGCGTGTTCCCAAATGTCCAAAGAGCTTTCTTAGTTAACATGGGAGAATTGGCATGCTATGATCATGCAAAGCGCTTTGTTATCAACAACAACATAGCGAATGATAATATTTACGCACACACTTTATCATCTATAATGTCAGGCTTGTCAGCTACTACATTGAGTTGTCCGGCAGATGTAATTAAGACAAGAATGATGAATCAGGCTGCTGACAAGCAAGGGAAGAATAAGTATAGAAACTCCTATGATTGTCTTGTCAAAACTGTCAGAATTGAAGGAGTCAAAGCATTGTGGAAGGGATTCTTTCCTACATGGGCAAGACTTGGCCCTTGGCAATTTGTATTCTGGGTATCATATGAGAAATTCCGACAAATTGCTGGTCTCTCTTCATTTTAACCAATTCATCATGCTGTGCATATAAAACAGCGGAACAGAGGTTAGGTTTTCACGTTTTTCCTTTGGACTGATCTTGAGTTACGTATGTTGTATCATGGTGGGTGTTTGAGAAAGCCCAGTATGCTTCTTTACTCCCTTTCACGAGAAAATTGGGGAGATAGATTTCTCTACTTGGATTCATTCAGTATTGGCTAAGCATGCACCAGTTTTCTTAGCTTGAGTCATTTAAACTGTTTTGCTGTCTGTTCTTCATCCAAATATTAGCTGGTCGATCTGCAAATATGGCTGTGCCAGGGACACTAGGAATTTCTCATATTTGCGGGGAAGTTCAGAAACAACCAATTGGGAGGTATCAATATGAAGAAGACATCACTATTCTTGTTCTTAAACTGAGCTGGAGAGCAATCCGTTGGAAGAAGCAATACTTGTGCCGGTTGGGTGTTAAAATTGTAGCTTGAGCCATTATTTCTCAAGTTATGAAATAAAACTAAGAAAACACTAATTCTAAGAAAGATAGCAAGATGAAAAAAAGATAGAAAGATATTGAGACCTAAGTTGCTCGGATACGGGTTTGGGTGGCCGACACGAGTATGGTCTAGAGCTTGGATCCTTCGAGATATAAATTCTAAGATTTGGGGATACGGATCCTAGCACGAATACGGGTGCGGGAATCCTGGCTAAAAACAATTCAAAATGTTAATAAAATAAAAATATCTCTAAATTATGAGTAATTTTGTGGAATACTTACGTATAGGGGGGGCAAAATGGTTAAAAGAAAACAGTCAACCACCCATATTATCCACTAAAAAATGGGTTGGATAATGAACTTTTAAAAAACGGGTCAAATATGGATAAGAACCATATTATCCATTTAGAAAATGGATAACCAATGAGTAACCAATGGATAACCAATGGGTCTAACTTTTACATTTGTAAAGCCTCAAATTCGGGGTTCCTCAAGTTAGGGAGACTAAGAATTCTCCCAAAAGTGATCATATACAAGAAGTGATGGATAATATGGGTAACTCATATTATCCGCCGGTTAATCCATTTTTTATCCGTATTAAATATGGGTCGGGCTGGATAATTGATCCGCTTTTTCATTACCCGTTTTTGACCCGAACCATATCCGACCCGCCCGCCCGTTTGCCACTCCTACTTACCTATAACTTGTAAAGTGCGGATATCTTTTTTATTCTCAAGTTGTAGATAAGTAAAGGATTGATTTCCTAGATAAGATGTGCTGTTTTCTTCAAATTTATCCTAGTTTTGGTTCTGATTTCGGGAATCAAATTGTATCTCGTCTTGAATTCTTCCGTCCGTCGAGGTCAAAGTATCCAAAATTATTTTACTAGATCCGGTACGGATCACATATTCACATACATACTAGTGTCGTGTTGACACGGGTGTGGAACCTAAACTGCCTTGTCGGAGCAAGACATTTTTTTCTTCCTTTTCTATTATTCACAAGATTAACCGAATGCATCTAATAATAGTCATACATTGCTGAACGCCAAAGGATGTCGCCAACATTTATATAGTTGTGAGTAATGGCGATTATGAGTATTATAGGCACTATTAGGCAGTACTAGTGGGGGTTATAGACATCAGAGTGGAGTAGGAAGGGGTATAGTTAGCATGAAGAGGTGTGGAGTTAATAATGCAAATGAACATTCACAAATAATTGTATTCATAGTACTCCTCTATAGATGTCTATGCATTAAAGAATATGCCTCATTAAAGCATTACAAGAAAAATATCATGGTGGATGAAAAAGAATACCTAATTCTTTATAGAATATGTGATGGAATATTGTCTCGTTAAAATCATTACTCGGGAAAAATCCAGTGGAAAAAATCCTTGGTAAAGATGTGCATATTTACTCTCCCTAGTGAAGACATCAATTAAGATTTATGAGTTGTCGCATTCCAATTTCATACACTAGGTTCTTAATACCTGTAGTGGGAAGATCCAGAGTAGATCAGCATGTACAATAGGAAGTGCGCATTGATAAGAAAATCAACAAGATAGTCACTTAAGTGAATCTGTTGAACAAAAATCTCACTTTTCCTGTGAATACTATCAATTTTTGATAAAAATATCTCCTCATGTCTTCTTTGTTGAATCCTACCATCAGCTGATATATGCATACAATATATATCATCTTTATACAATATAGTTGGTTCTTTCTTGCTAGGTAGGCTACATGCACAATGAATATGTTCAATTATTGATCTCAACAAGACATTCTCAGCTTCTCTTATGAATCGCTAATATTCTTTGTACGGCTGAAGTAGTAGATTCTAGTTGTATAGAACACCATAAAATAGATGCACCTCCACATATAATTATAACTGGTATGCTGATACTGGAAATATATGTCATGTTTTAGATGTCATTCTTAGCATGATTGTTTGACTCTTGATTATATTTAGTGCTATTTGGTATATATAAAACGTAGGTCTATGAAAAATCTCTACATTACAGCATATATTACTAATCCTAACATAATCCCTTCATAATTAAACCATGGATAACAAAACCCTGCATAACTAATCCCTGCATAACTTTAACCAGCAACCAAACGACACATAAGAGCACATCCGGTACATTCATATTACTAAACCAGTATGGTGAATAACGTTTCAATATTGTCCGACCACAATACAAGGTATCATTAAAAAAAAAAAGGACCCTATTCGACAGTGAATAGCGTTTCAATATAGGCAGACCAAGAAGAAGATGCTCAATCCTTCCGATACATCTACAGTATATCTAGATATTAGAAACAAATACTTTTGTGATTGAAAAAAAGGGGACAACCAGTATGTAAACACTAGTTCAAAAAATATACAGCATTAACCATCAAGGAACAAACAAGAAAATCTGCAACATCCCGAGCATCATTTAAAGTTAAAAATTCTGCCAGTTCTGTCACACAACTGCTCTTACTTCAAACTCTTCAGAATGTGTCTTACTAACATTCTATAAAAAATTTCATGTTTGACAAAACTCTGCAGGCTCTGCTTCCAGGACTTCCCTGCTCGCCAAAACCAACACCAATACCGCGTGCAATGCTATACATCCATCATCATTAAATGTTGGAGCTTCATATGGCAGAGGGTCATAAACATCCTGAAACAAAACAAAAACAAAAAAAATGAAAGCAAGGGACGATAGAGGAACGCAGTAAGACAACCCCTAAGAAAGCTTTCAGCTTCAAAGAGAACGTCAAACTCAATGCTGAGCAAGCAAAAAAGAAAAGGAAAAACTGGAAGAGGAAGGAAGCTAGCATAATTAGAATTTTCAACAATACCAAGTTCAAACCTACTTTCACCAGTTTGAGAGATAAAGGAATTGAACTGGAAATCAATTAAAATGAACCAGGAAAACTATTTGTTAATGTCAGAAACCTCGACAGTCAGAATGAAACTTGGTTTCCAAACTGAACCTAACAAGACTCAAAAGAAGTATGTCACTCTTGACTGATCCATTCATTGCAACATTTATCAGCAACTAGGGCGGCTCTAAGGTAAGGCAAGTGAAGCTCTTGCCTTAGGCCCTCAAATATTTAAGGCCCAAATATATGTAATTTATATTTATACAATTATTGATAAAATATTTTAAATTTTAATATTTATTTAAAATTAAATGAGTTAATAGGATAAAACTTTTCTCTCACTAAATTAAATAATATATTTATCTTCTCATCAATTTTATTTTTTTCTTTCTTTTTTCATATTTTTTACTATTTTACTTTCTAGTTTCAACTCAGATTCTCTAAATTAGCTATTCCTTTTTGTCATATTTGATTGATCCACACATCAGAAAGCAAGTTCTTTTGTGTCTCATTTTTTTAAACTAAGAAATCCTAGAGACAAGTATCGTAAGGTTTAAATTACGATCGATAATAGGCTTAATCTTTTTATCATTTTCACTTAATGCTATACTTTTGTATAGGGGAGAGTTCAATGCCATATGACTTGCGCCTAACCCATATACTCACCACTTTTTTGTCTCAATATTATAAGGATTTTATGAAAGAAATTTCAGAGTCTTTTAATATATTTTAGTTTTAAGCCACCAGTTCCGTTGAGCCGCCCTCTTTAATGATGAACAATTATTTATAGATCACTGCCCCATGAACGTATTATTCAACCAGCTTCATTCACATTTGGTAACTAAATAACACATTCACCGATGGTTGTCTTATCTTAATTGAGACTCAATAAAATTTGATCGAGAATATCGGGGGATAGACATGTGGCTCAAGTAGGAGACCAGTTAAGCTTTAATTTAGGTCCTCAAAATTTTTTAATAATGGATTTTATGATTTTATTTCAAGTTAGACAATATTAAAGTTTGCAAAAAAAAAAAAAAAAAAAAAACCTTGGACAAAAGAAAGAAAGAAAGACTATCTACTCTTTAACACTAAAAATATTTTAGAATTTTGAATTAAATTACTTAAATCTTCATATTAGTAAATAAATTTTTTTACAACAATATCAAAGGTAACATATTGAAAATACATGTCTAACATCTAATTTATTTAAGTTACCTCTTACTAATATAAATGATATACTACTATGTGAAGTTAAAGGTTTTATTATTTAAGAATGTTATACTATAAATAACAAGTATTAAAAAATGACAACACTATTATCAAAATGGGTGATACTATTATGAGTTATCTAGCCAAAACTGGATCAGACCATAATTTTATTTCTTATCAGGTATAAGGACCATCATACCAATTTTATCAAAAGGTTTGGATTCTCTGAATTCTTTATTGATACAATAAAAAAATACTTAAATTGTTACCATAGAATAACCCCGGTTTGCGAAGGTAGGATAATGAACCATTGTTGCGGTCAAGGCCTGATACTCTAAAGCAAGGGCCACCTCATAGCTCTCAAGCCAGTCCCAATCCTGAATAAAAGCTTTGCATAGTCCTTGTCGCTGAAAGACATAAAAATTATGTTAAAAAAATAATATATTTTTAAATAAATGTCTTGAAAATTAACAATCAGTTACTACTTACTCGTAACACTAAACTCCGGCAACGATAATAATTTTCGAAATTCAAACCCCATCGTCTTATGTAGTTGTAAACTTTGAGAAAAGTGGTGCCATATGGTTCAATGGGTAGGCATTCCACAACCTCTTGTTTGGAGAAACTTATTGCATCACCCCGTAAAGCTTCAGGGGTTTGTATTGCCAACTT